TTTGACCGGCCATTGTCTCAAAGATAATGGACTTTACTGGCTATTATCTCAGAGATAATGGAAATGATCCGTCATTATCTAGGGTATAATAAAACTGCCAGGCCATTTTTCTCACAGATAATAGACTTGACAGGCAATTATCTCAGAGATAATGATCGTTTACTCGCATTCAATGGATGTGGCCGGCCATTATCTCATATCTAATGGACATGATCAGTCATTTTCTCAGAGATAATGAACTTCATTACCAGGATCTCAGAAATTTCATCTCCATTGTCTTCGACGTGATAGACTAACGGGTTCTTTAGCGAAATTTCTGAAAAAAGTTTTGAAGAAAAAATTTCCTCCAAATAAAATCTGTGGATTCTCTCATATCTAAGTATCAATACCAAACCCACCATCTTAGTTGCTCATTGGTTTATGGTCCTCTCGGGGGCGGAATGTAATTTATTGATGTTTGCTTAAATGTTCCAAAGTGGAAGGTGGCAGTTTGACAAGACGAATAGCCACTGGGGACATGTCGTCTGTTCATTAAGTAATGACGGTGGAAATTAAGTGGAGTTTGGCCAAGTGGAATATATTAGTTGATATTGAAACTCCAAATAAGCAGATAAGCTTCAAACTATCAAATGATTTGATAGAACGAAAAGGAATGATATCTGCATATCCTGTCAAAACCATTTTTCTATTAAAAATCAAACTTTACACTATTTGTTTCTTTCAATCAAATACACACACACATACATTGAAAATTCTTTCTTTTTCCCAAATCAAATAAAAATTCCCATTGGCCACAGAAGCCACTGACTGCTACAACTAACCGCAATTTGATATTTGCTTCTGCTTTCTGTCGTGGTTTTTTGACTGAATTCAGTAAACAACAGTTAGCCCAACAGCCAGTGCCGGCCAAGTAAGCAGGCAAATGACCGTCCGATAGACAGACTGACATACAAAGATACTGAACAACCATCCGACCGAACAACAAGCCATTCATCCGGATGTAAAAATGCCAAAAAACCAATTTCATTTTAAATATCTGATATTTGGTCTTACAGCTTTTAGAGATATATAAAATAAACTTCAATTAAATGAGAAACCTCAAAAAAGAGAATGCGGTGTAAAATGGAAGAACAGAAGAATAAGAAAAAGCAGGGAAGCAGAAGAAAACGCATTCATTTCTTGGCACTAAACATATTGGGAAGTGGAAAATTTCTTTTATTTTTTGTGTAAAGTAGGGAAATAGTTGAAGAAAGCATAACAATAAAGTTTGGTGAGAACTTATAGAAAAAATCCACAACAACAACAATATTGTGAGTTAAAATTTAAGCCATGCAAAAAATGGCTTCAATATTTTTTTTAGAGAGGCATACACAGAAGTTTCCAAGCAAAATATTAGGGATATATAAGGAATATTCCTTGCCATTTATTTTCCTTGTAAAGAGTAACGGATCATAAGATTTTCTAAATAAAAATTAAATAACAGTATGTAGTGGCATATCAATTTCTTTTGAAAAAATGTATGTATTACGGCAAATTTCTAGAGGATCTCCTCTTTAAAAATGTCAATTTTATGGAGAACATGTGGACTATAAAATTCTCCAAAGAAAATATATTCCATCGAACTTCGGCTTATATAACTCCCAATCTAAAGCTCCTTTGAAAATCAAATTTCATTTCAAAAATTAAAATTTCCAATACATTTTTCCTCGAGTGAATTTTTCCCAAAGTAGCTTCAATGTGTAGAGCTTACACACTGGACTGACAATATTTTCCGAGTATTTTTTCTCGAATAAATGTTTTGTTGATTCTCTTCAACGGCCACTTCACCATCGGAAAAAATAACAAACATTGTAGTTTCAAAACCATTCAAGTTAATAACATAAATTTGGTTACTTCACAATTACATATGCAACATTTTATGTGAAACATTAGAATTTTTTTCTCTTGTAGTTGTTGTTTATGATATTGGCCAAGAAGCATACTAGTGTTCTTTGCCAAGAATCACATAAAAACCCAAAAGTATTGAAAAGAATTAAAGTGTAATACCATATTAAAGAAAGATATGTAAATTTTAATGCAATATTTCTAAACAATATCTATGAAAAACATGTGCGATCCATAAAATTTCCTGAAAAAAAACAATAGGTTCCACAAAATTGTATACAAAATATATGAGTCTCACGAGATTTTCATAAAAAATCTTAGTTCCTATACCACATTTTGAATAGAAAATCTTAGGTTCCACAAAATGTTACAAAATATACTTGGGTTCTACAGAGTTCTCAATGGAAAATCTTGTGGAACACAAGATTTTCTATAGAAAACTTTGGATTCCACAAGATGTTCTATAGAAAACCATGCGATCTACAAGATTTTCTATAGAAAACCATGCGATCTATAAGATTTTCTATAGAAAAAATTGGGTTCCACAAGATTTTCTACAGAAACTTTTGTGATCCACAACATTTTCTATAGCAAATCTTGCGATCCATAACATATTTAATAGAAAACCTCTTGTTCCACAAAATTTTCTATAGATAACCTTGGGTTCCACAAAATTTTTCACAAAAAAAACTTGGGTTTCACACGATTTTCTATATCGAAAAACTTGCGATCAACCAAATTTTCTATAGAAAAGTATGTATACCACAACCTTTCCTGTAGAAAGCCCTGGGTTCCACAAGATTTTCTATAGAAAACCTTGGGTTCCACAAGATTTTCTATTGAAAACCTTGGGTTCCACAAGATTTTCTATAGATAACATAGATAACATCTTGTGGATCGCAAGGTTTTCTAGAGTAAACATTGTGTTCCACAAGATTTTCTATAGAAAAACTTGCCTTCCACAAGATTTTCTATAGAAAAACTTGCCTTCCACAAGATTTTCTATAGAAAAACTTGCCTTCCACAAGATTTTCTATAGAAAAACTTGCCTTCCACAAGATTTTCTATAGAAAAACTTGCCTTCCACAAGATTTTCTATAGAAAAACTTGCCTTCCACAAGATTTTCTATAGAAAAACTTGCCTTCCACAAGATTTTCTATAGAAAAACTTGCCTTCCACAAGATTTTCTATAGGAAAACTTGCCTTCCCCAAGATTTTCTATAGGAAAACTTGCCTTCCCCAAGATTTTCTATAGGAAAACTTGCCTTCCCCAAGATTTTCTATAGGAAAACTTGCCTTCCCCAAGATTTTCTATAGGAAAACTTGCCTTCCCCAAGATTTTCTATAGGAAAACTTGCCTTCCCCAAGATTTTCTATAGGAAAACTTGCCTTCCCCAAGATTTTCTATATGAAAACTTGCCTTCCCCAAGATTTTCTATAGGAAAACTTGCCTTCCACAAGATTTTCTATAGGAAAACTTGCCTTCCACAAGATTTTCTATAGGAAAACTTGCCTTCCACAAGATTTTCTATAGGAAAACTTGCCTTCCACAAGATTTTCTATAGGAAAACTTGCCTTCCACAAGATTTTCTATAGGAAAACTTGCCTTCCACAACATTTTCTATAGGAAAACTTGCCTTCCACAAGATTTTCTATAGGAAAACTTGCCTTCCACAAGATTTTCTATAGGAAAACTTGCCTTCCACAACATTTTCTATAGAAAAACTTGCCTTCCACAAGATTTTCTATAGAAAAACTTGCCTTCCACAAGATTTTCTATAGAAAAACTTGCCTTCCACAAGATTTTCTATAGAAAAACTTGCCTTCCACAAGATTTTCTATAGAAAAACTTGCCTTCCACAAGATTTTCTATAGAAAAACTTGCCTTTCACAAGATTTTCTATAAAATTTCAGAAGATTTTTTATAGAATATTTTGGGTTTCACAAGATTTTTTATAGAATATTTTCTATAGAATATCTTGCGATCCACATTATTTTCTATGGAAAACCTTGTGATCCACAATATTTTCTATGGAAAACCTTGTGATCCACAATATTTTCTATGGAAAACCTTGTGTTCCACAATATTTTCTATAGAAAACCTTGGATTCTACATGATGTTCTATACCGAAAACACTGCGATCCACAAGATTTTCTATAGATAACCTTCAAAAGCTTGCTTGCACAGGATATTCTATAGAAAACCTTGGTTTTCACAGATTTTCTATGGAAAACATTGTGTTCCACAAGATTTTCTACGGAAAAAATTGTGTTCCACAAGATTTTCTACAAAAAAAAACTTGGGTTCCACAAGATTCTCCACAGTAAACCTTGCGATTCACCAGATTTTCCACACAAAATATTGGGTTCCACAAGATTTTGCATGGAAAACCTTGTATTCCCCAAAATTTTCTATAGAAAATCTTAGGTTCCACAAGATTTTCTATATCGAAAACATGGGTCCCACAAGGAACCTTGCGATCCAACCTTGTGTTCCCCAATATTTTCTATGGAAAGCCTTTCGATCCACAAGATTCTCTACATCGAAAACGTTGCTATCAACAAGATTTTCTACTAGAAAACTTGCGATCCACAAGAGTTTCTATAGAAGATTTAGCGATCCACAAAAACCTCCCAATTCACAAGATTTTCTGAAGACAACCTTGCGATCCAAAAGATTTTCTATGCAAAAATTTGCAATTCACAAACTTTTTTATTGAAAAGGTTGTGGTTAAAACGCATTTTTAGATTTTTTTTTCTATTGATTGCAGTTGCCATCGATGAATTCGAAAAACTGTCTCCATGTTAAAAAAAATAATATTTTTTACATCTTGTTGTTGCCATATGTATGTATGTCATCTGTTAACTTCCCAGATTTATGATATTACAGAATATGGTAGCCTTTTTCATAATTGAATTTTCATGTAAAATTGAAACCGGTTTTTTGTCCAAATAAAACTACTATTATTGAAAACTTTATTTTGCATGCATTTTTACTTGTTGTTATTGTCAACATCTTACATATTGCACCCCCCACTATGTAACTGTGGCAAAAATATTCCATGAATATTACATCCCTTTTAACGCTTTTGGTGTGTGTGTTTTTTCATAACAGAGGAACCACAACCCACCCAACATTGTCCCCGCAAGAATGGCTATTTCGGTCATGAGAAACCTGGCATTTGTGACAAGTTCTACTACTGTGTTGATGGCCAATTCAATATGATCACCTGTCCCGCTGGTTTGGTATTCAATCCCAAGACTGGAATTTGCACCTGGCCCGATGAGGTTGGTGTCAGCGGTTGCAAATCGGAAGATATCTTTGAATTTGAGTGCCCAGCTGTCAACGAGACCATTGCTGTGACCCATCCCCGCTATGCCGATCCAGATGATTGCCAGTTCTTCTATGTCTGTGTAAATGGTGATACACCACGTCGCAATGGTTGCAAGTTGGGTCAGGTGTTCGATGACACGAAGAAACATTGTGAATGGGCTCGTTTGGTGCCTGAGTGGTAAGTAGTTTTGGAACGAAGCAAATTGTGTTGAAGCTTGAAAAATTATCTATTTTCAGTGCCGATTGGTACAAGGATCGTTTGACCGATGCCGAATTGGAGGAATTGGAAAATCCCAAACCCAAGGAAAAGAAGAAGCCCCAACGTACACGTGGCCAATCGAGACGTAAGCCAGTCCAAGTCGAAGAAGACGAGGAGGAAGAGTAGAAGCAGTACTTTTTAACTTTTGTAAAGACTGCAGCTTTTAAAGAAACGCTTAGCTTTAAGTTTTTATAAAAAGAGAAAAAAATAATTATTTTTGTATAAATTTTTGAAATGTTTAGAAACAACTAAATTTTTTTGTGAATAAAATCAAAATTTTACAGAAAATATAAATATCTACATAACATGAAAGATTTCAAAATTGTGGAAATTTGGAAAAAATTATCCTAGGGTTTTAAAAATATGTTTTCGTAAGATTAGAACAGTTCTGGAATTATAAAAATGGTTTTGCTGAAGATTATTATGGTTTATTCTGGCGATTATTATGGTTTACAACACTCGTGAATTTGTAAAAATTGTTTTCTAAAGATTATAACAGTTTATAACAGTCATGGGTTTATAAAAAATATTTTTTGAAGATTATAACAGTTAGTAAAATTCGTGGATTTATAAAAAATAATTTTTCCAAAGATTATAACAGATTATAACAGTCGTGGATTTATAAAAATTATTTTTCTGAACATTATAACAGGCGTAAATTTATATTTTTTCTGAAGATTATAACTGTTTTAGTTTTTAGACTGTTTTACAGTCGTGGATTTATAGTTTCTTTTCTGAAAATTAAGACAGTCTTAGATTTATAAAAATTATTTTTCTGAAAATTATAACAGTCGTGGATTTATAAATTTTTTTCTGCAGATTATAACAGATCTTAGATTTTTAAAAACTATTTTTCTGAAGAACATAACAGTCGTGGATTTATAAAAATTATTTTTCTGAAGATTGTAATAGTCGTGTATTTATAAAAATTATTTTTCTGAAGACTATAAGAGTCGTGAATTTATAAAAATTATTTTTCTGAAGATTATAACAGTCGTGGGTATATATAAAAATTATTTTTCTAAAGATTATAACAGAAGTGGATTTATAAAAATTATTTTTCTGAAGATTATAACAGTCGTGGATTTCTAAAAATTATTTTTTCGAAGATTTAACAGTCGTAGATTTATACAAATTATTTTGCTGAAGATTATAACAGTCGTGGATTTATACAAATTATTTTTCTGACGATTATAACAGTCGTGGATTTATACAAATTATTTTTCTGACGATTATAACAGTCGTGGATTTATAAAAATTATTTTTCTGATGATTATAACAGTCGCGGATTTATAAAAATTATTTTTCTGAAGATTATAACAATCGTGGATTTACAAAAATTATTTTTCTGAAGATTATAACAGTCGTGGATTTACAAAAATTATTTTTCTTAAAATTATAACAGTAGAGGATTTATAAAAAAAAAATTCTTAAGATTATAACAGTCGTGGATTTATAAAAGATATTTTTCTGAAGATTATAACAGTGTATAACAGTCGTGGATTTATAAAAATTATTTTTCTGAAGATTATAACAGTGTATAACAATCGTGGATTTATAATAATTATTTTTCTGAAGATTATAAAAGTGTATAACAGTCGTGGATTTATAAAAATTATTTTTCTGAAGATTATAACAGTGTATAACAGTCGTGGATTTATAATAATTATTTTTCTGAAGATTATAACAGTGTATAACAGTCGTGGATTTATAAAAATTATTTTTCTGAAGATTATAACAGTGTATAACAGTCGTGGATTTATAAAAAATATTTTTCTGAAGATTATAACAGTGTATAACAGTCGTGGATTTATAAAAAATATTTTTCTGAAGATTATAACAGTGTATAACAGTCGTGGATTTATAAAAAATATTTTTCTGAAGATTATAACAGTGTATAACAGTCGTGGATTTATAAAAAATATTTTTCTGAAGATTATAACAGTCGTGGATTTCTAAAAATTATTTTTTCGAAGATTTAACAGTTGTAGATTTATACAAATTATTTTGCTGAAGATTATAACAGTCGTGGATTTATACAAATTATTTTTCTGACGATTATAACAGTCGTGGATTTATACAAGTTATTTTTCTGACGATTATAACAGTCGTGGATTTATAAAAATTATTTTTCTGATTATTATAACAATCGCGGATTTATAAAAATTATTTTTCTGAAGATTATAACAATCGTGGATTAATAAAAATTATTTTTCTGAAGATTATAACAGTCGTGGATTTACAAAAATTATTTTTCTTAAAATTATAACAGTAGAGGATTTATAAAAAAAAAATTTCTTAAGATTATAACAGTCGTGGATTTATAAAAGATATTTTTCTGAAGATTATAACAGTGTATAACAGTCGTGGATTTATAAAAATTATTTTTCTGAAGATTATAACAGTGTATAACAATCGTGGATTTATAATAATTATTTTTCTGAAGATTATAACAGTGTATAATAGTCGTGGATTTATAATAATTATTTTTCTGAAGATTATAACAGTGTATAACAGTCGTGGATTTATAAACATTATTTTTCTGAAGATTGTAACAGTGTATAACAGTCGTGGATTTATAAAAATTATTTTTCTGAAGATTATAACAGTGTATAACAGTCGTGGATTTATAAAAATTATTCTTCTGAAGATTATAACAGTGTATAACAGTCGTGGATTTATAATAATTATTTTTCTGAAGATTATAACAGTGTATAACAGTCGTGGATTTATAAAAATTATTTTTCTGAAGATTATAACAGTGTATAACAGTCGTGGATTTATAAAAATTATTTTTCTGAAGATTATAACAGTGTATAACAGTCGTGGGTTTATAAAAATTATTTTTCTGAAGATTATAACAGTGGTGGATTCATAATAATTATTTTTCTGAAGATTATAACAGTTGTGGATTCATAATAATTATTTTTCTGAAGATTATAACAGTTGTGGATTCATAATAATTATTTTTCTGAAGATTATAACAGTTGTGGATTCATAATAATTATTTTTCTGAAGATTATAACAGTTGTGGATTCATAATAATTATTTTTCTGAAGATTATAACAGTTGTGGATTCATAATAATTATTTTTCTGAAGATTATAACAGTCGTGGATTTATAAAAATTATTTTTATGAAGATTATAACAGTCGTGGATTTATAAAAATTATTTTTATGAAGATTATAACAGTCGTGGATTTATAAAAATGTATTTTCTGAAGATTATAACAGTCGTGGATTTATAAAAATTATTTTTATGAAGATTAAAACAGTCGTGGATCTATAAAAATTATTTTTATGAAGATTATAACAGACGTGGATCTATAAAAATTATTTTTACGAAGATTATAACAGTCGTATATTTATGAAAGTTATTTTTCTGAAGATTATAATAGTCGTGGATTTATGAAAATTATTTTTTTAAAAATTTTAACAGTCGTGGATTTATATAAATTATTTTTCTAAAGATTATAACAGTCGTGGATTTATATAAATTATTTTTCTAAAGATTATAACAGTCGTGGATTTATATAAATCATTTTTCTAAAGATTATAACAATCGTGGATTTATATAAATTATTTTTCTAAAGATTATAACAGTCGTGGATTTATATAAATCATTTTTCTAAAGATTATAACAGTCGTGGATTTATATAAATTATTTTTCTAGAGATTATAACAGTCGTGAACTTATAAAAAAAAGTTTTAAGAGGATTATAACAGTTAATGACAGTCGTGGATCTTAAAGACTACTTTTTGTAAATTATAACAGTTTATAACAGTCGTGAATATATGAGAATTGTATATTTTGAAGATTATAAGAGTGTATAACAGTCGTGAATTTATAAAACTTATTTATTTTCAAGATTATAACAGTGAATAACAGTAGTGGATTCATAATAATTATTTTTCTGAAGATTATGACAGTTTCTAAAAGTCGTGGATTTATAAAAATAATTTTTCTGAAGATTATGACAGTTTCTAAAAGTCGTGGATTTATAATAATAATTTTTTCTGAAGATTATAACAGTTTCTAAAAGTCGTGGATTTTTAAAAATAATTTTTCTGAAGATTATAACAGTTTCTAAAAGTCGTGGATTTATAAAAATCATTTTTCTGAAGATTATAACAGTTTCGAAAAGTCGAGGATTTATAAAAATAATTTTTCTGAAGATTATAAAAGTCGTGGATTTATAAAAATAATTGTTCTGAATATTATAACAGTTTCGAAAAGTCGAGGATTTATAAAAATTATTTTTCGGAAGATTATAATAGTCGTGGATTTATAAAAATTATTTTTCTGAACATTATAACAGTTTATAACTGTTGTGGATTTATAAAAATCATTTTTCTGAAGATTATAATAGTCGTGGTTTAAGAAAAATTATTATTCTGAACATTATAACAGTTTATAACAGTCGTGGTTTAAGAAAAATTATTTTCTGAAGATTATAACAGTTTATAACAGTCGTGGTTTAAGAAAAATTATTTTCTGAAGATTATAACAGTTTATAACAGTGGTGGTTTTAGAAAAATTATTTTTCTGAACATTATAACAGTTTATAACAGTCGTGGATTTATAAAAAATATTTTTCTGAAGATTATAACAGTTTATAACAGTGGTGGTTTTAGAAAAATTATTTTTCTGAACATTATAACAGTTTATAACAGCCGTGGATTTATAAAAAAATATTTTTCTGAATATTATAACAGTCGGGATTTATAAAAATTTTTTTTCTTCAGATTATAACAGTCGTGGATTTATAAAAAATATTTTTCTGAATATTATAACAGTCGTGGATTTATAAAAGTTATTTTTCTGAAGATTATAACAGTCAAGGATTTATGAAAATAATTTTTCTGAGGATTTTTTTAGTAAAATTTTTCTAGTAATTATAACAGTTTCTTAAAAAATCCCCTAGTTTTCATTAATTTCCCCACTTATCCTTCTCATTTCAATGTCTTGTTCAGAATTGTGATTTTTAAATTAAGAATTTAGCACTAACACCATCATTGTTATGATTTTATTAAATTTCTCCCGATTTCCATGTCACTTAGTAGAAGCGTAGGGAAAAACTTTTAAAAATTTATCTTAACTGCAACAACAATTTTCACATTAACTGACGATCCCTGCAATGATGTTCTAAATGTTTAATAGTTGCATATTCTAAGACATTATTACAGACATCAAAGACCACAAACGAGAAGAGATACAATGAAATGCAACTTAACCATTCTACCAACCAACCGACCAATACACCCACA